GAGAGAGAGAGAGAGAGAGAGAGAGAGAGAGAGAGAGAGAGAGAGAGAGAGAGAGAGAGAGAGAGAGAGAGAGAGAGAGAGGAGAGAGAGAGAGAGAGAGAGAGAGAGAGAGAGAGACAGACAGACAGACATAGACAAATAAACAAACAGACAAGAATCAACAAAAAACACAAAAAGAAAGACCTAAAAAAACAACAACAACAACAACAAAAAAAACAAAGTTCAAACCAAGAACACACACAATTCTTGCATCTCTCCGAAAGAGCAAGTAAGAGGAAATACAAGACACATCCGGTTAAGAATTGGTCTTTCGCTTAGTCTCCTCGTAGCCTTGGGACCGAGCTGACGTTTCCCTCTCTAAACCTCTCGTTCTGGTATTTTTTTTTCCTGTGCCTAATTCTCCGAAGTTCTCATTTCTCTTTTTTCTCTGTCTCTTTTAATATCTCCTCTTTATTTTTATCTCTCTCGATTTTTCTTTTCCATTTTTTTCTTTCTTTCTTTTTATTTTTTTTTCATTTTTTTTTCTCTCTTCGATCTTTTTCTTTCTTATTCTCTTTTTCAGTTTCTTCTTAATATTCATCTCTCCCTTTCTCTTTTTTATTTTTTTTATTTATTCTCTCTTTATTATTATCGATCTCTCTCTCATTCTCTCTCTCTCTCTCTCTCTCTCTCTCTCTCTCTCCTCTCTCTCTCTTCTCTCTCTCTTTCCTTTTCCCTCCCTCCCTTTCTCCCTCCCTCCCTCCCTCACTCCCTCCTCCCTCCCTCTCCCCCTCTCCCTCCCCATCCAACCAAACCATTACACTTCAATAGAACAAAAAAACAAAAAAAAAAAAAAAAAAAAAAAACACCACAACAACACCTACAACTCACACAAGACCTCAGAAAACAAGGTCATAACATGCACAGACTACGGACACGAGAGACAACGCACGGAGGCGAGGATGACAACGTGACCTCCGCTTTCCGACCTCCAAGGCAGCCTTTGGACTCCACTGAAAGGAGGTCAGAGTGCAGAACAGGTGATGGAAGGGAAAGGAGAGCGAGAGAGAAGGAGAGGGAGAGGGAGGGAGAGAGAGAGAGAGGAGAGAGGGAGAGGGGAGAGAGGAGAGGGAGAGAGAGGAGAGAGAGAGGGAGAGAGAGAGAGAGGGAAGAGAGGGAGAGAGGGGGGAGAGAGAGGGAGAGGGGGGGAGAGAGAGAGAGAGAGAGAGAGAGAGAGAGAGAGAGAGAGAGAGAGAGAGAGAAAGAGAAAGAGAGAAGAGAAGAGAGAGAGAGAGAGAGAGAGAGAGAGAGAGAGAGAGAGAGAGAGAGAGAGAGAGAGAGAGAGAGAGAGAGAGAGAGAGAGAGAGAGAGAGAAGAGAGAAAGAGAGAGAGAGAGAGAGAGAGAGAGAAGAGAGAGAGAGAGAGAGAGAGAGAGAGAGAGAGAGAGAGAGAGAGAGAGAGAGAGAGAGAGAAAGAAAGAAAGAAAGAAGAGAGAAGAGAGAGAGAGAGAGAGAGAGAGAGAGAGAGAGAAGAGAGAGAGAGAGAGAGAGAGAGAGAGAGAGAGAGAGAGAGAGAGAGAGAGGGAGAGAAGAGAAGAGAGAGAGAGAAGAGAGAGAAGAGAGAGAGAGAGAGAGAGAGAGAGAGAGAGAGAGAGAGAGAGAGATGAAAAGACTTTATACGAAATCAAAAGAGGAGAATCGCATACCAGAGAAGATGCCAAGTCACCGTATTTTGTAGCACCACGAACGCATTTTTTTTCCATTTCTTACCGATTTGGTGTTATTTCTGACCTTTATTTAGTATTATTCATATCCATTTCTTCCTGTAATTCTTGAACTTCTATACAGATCCTTACAATAAGAATAACGAAGCTCTTTAGAACACGAAGAACGACTTAAACTTAAAGTGTTTTGAAATACTCGCGTTCGCATAGCGTAATCCAGTCATGATGACGTCATCACCTACCCGCATACGCCACTTCATCGTCACTTTGGCATGACCTGGTTTTTGGCCGATGCTATAGACGAGACGTGGAAAAAAATCAATAATTTCATGAGATAAGAATATTAGGAGAAGAAAAAAATGAAATAATTGGGACGAAGAGTATATAGAAATCTAGATATTGTGAGATGCAATGTCGGAATCCAAACGACTATTTAGAATAACTGGAACAAGGAATATATAGAAAGGTAGATAGCGTAAGATAGAATGTCGATAAACACACGAGTTTTTAAAAGATGTGGAGCTTTATTTACATATTTATTTATTTTCATTAAAAGATCTGGGACTCGTTTTTTTTTTCTTTCTTTTCTTTCTTTTTTTTTGGCTTCTGACCCTTTCCGTGTCAAGGTCTCAAGAAGCAGGTCACAAGAAGCAGGTCAAAATTCTGACATCTGCCCAGTATCATTAACCTTCAAAACGGCAAAGATTTAATCGATAGGGTGTGATATGTTATTTTTATTTTTTTTTTTATATTTTTTCTTATTTTTATTTATATTTTTATTTTTTTTTTCTTATGGTGAGGGGGGGTGGCAAAAATTCGCGGAAATTTAATCGATAGGGTGTGATATATTTTTTTTTTTGGGGGGGAGGGGCGGGGGGGGAGTCCGGTTTGTGTCATTATATACTTATTTTTTTTTGTATATCGACAAAGTGACTGACAGTTTGATC